TAACCCGAATGAACCGAGCCGAAACGCTACAATCTGGTTGAACCTATATCCTGTCATGCGGATATCATACTGTATGAAAAATATGAATATAAACTACTCCCAATTACACTCTAAACTTCCAACGTCTCCAAAGAATCATCATAACACAATCATCATAACACAATACACTTTATATATCTATTTCATGATTGTAACATCCTCATAGCATTTAATATCTAGCAATTAATTCCATTTCAGAATCTATATCAAGGTTTTTCATGACCTAATCATTACCAACTTATAGTAAACTATATTTCATCTTCAATCATTTTCATAAGTATTATCTTTATCTCCAACACTTACACCAAAATAATTACATGTTATCAATTATATTTACAATCACATAAGTCTAACAAACAAATACATTATAACAAGCCCATAAATCTTATTACATGCCATTAATTCTTGAATTATACAACCTCAATCTACTGACCAAAATTAATCATTCTGCTTTGATACGTACTCTTCAAGTTCTTCAAGTAGCAATCACGATCTTCAACTAGCAATCACGATCTTCAACCCTACGCGTGATAAAACATGAACGCGCTGAGTATAAAACTCAGTGGTGCTCATTAATTTCAATACTAACCAAAGTGCGATGCGCAACTAACTTAAAATACAAAATTTCATAAAGCAATTGATTACTCATAGAATTAGTTAAATTTCAACGTAAATGTCTCTTTATAACAACGAATTAAACTTCTAATTCATAAACTCATAAACATCAATAATTTAGTTCTAATTATCTCATAACTCCTTTACATGAACCTTAAATCACACCTTATGATACTATCATGATCTTACCTGCTGGTCATTGTGTTGTATGAATGAAATCAATAAACATGTAAGATTACATAACAGTATATGTTCATTGTCTTACTTGCTATTCATTATGCTGTATAACTTATGCACTTTTAGTCACATCATATAAGTTATGATTAATAACATCTCATGACTGTATGGCTCCTTAAGAATTAAATAAATAAACGCGTAAGCATATATAACATGTTACTTTCATGATCTTACCTGATGTTCTTTATGCTGTATGAACTCTGCAACTTTGATTAAATTCAGTGAATATCACAATGAATGAAGAAACATATATGAAAGAACATATAAGCAACATACATATGTAGAATAAACATTTACTCACATATGAGAATGTAAGCACACTTCATGATACTATCATTTTCCTTAATGATTTTCTTGTTGTTTAGTATACTGTATGATTATGCAATTTGTAGTCGATATAACTTATAGCTCATAGGTATATAGTTGAAACGAAGTGTAAGAAACTGTATGAAACTGATGAAACCTGTATGCTTGGCTTGCTATGGCCTGTATAATCATAGTTCCACTCAAGGCCTGTAGCCGGAGTTACCAAACTGTATGGGGCGCGATTGACTATTTTCTTATGTCGCGAATACGCCTTATCTACTGGTTTACTACCTAACCTCAATGGAGGCATATGAATGGATTGACAATAGATCAAACTAGATAAAACAAAAGCAAAGTAACTGTGTCCTAACTTGTATGCTTGTGTCATGTTATTTTCACACCATTTGCATGCTTGCATTTTGTGTTTATACATGTATACATGTTGTCTTTTTGTTTTAAAATGGTTGAAGACATACAAGTTGAGAAAGGAATACAATTATATAGAATTCATAACTTCATACACCATTTCACATCATTTCACAATTGCATAGAATATAATTACAAATTGTGTTTACCTCATTTCACATCATTTACATGCTTGCATGTTGCTTTGATACATGATTTAATGTTGTATTTTTGTTGTAAAATGAATGTTGTTATTTTTTGTTGTAAAATGGATTGGAGGCATACAAAGTTGAGCCAAAAGAATCAATTGATAGAAAAAGAGTCCAAGAAGTGCATGAAAAAACACAAGTCGCGAGCGCGCCTTGGCAAGGTCGCGAAGCGCTTCCACCTTGTGCGTAGCCGATGTGGGATTCGCCTAAGGTGTTGTGCCCCAAACCTGGGATGTCACATACGCGAGCGCTTACAGGCCAAGGGCCAAGTACGCGAGCGCGTACTTTAAAGTCGCGAGCGCGAAAAGTGCCAAATGAGAGACAGAGAGTTTGCGAGCACAAGTCGCGAGAACGCACTTGAAAGTCGCGAGCGCGAGATGTGCCAAATGAGAGTCAGAGATTTTCAGGTGAAAGTCGCGAGCGCGCATTTGAAAGTCGCGAGCGCGAGAAGGCAACGCGAGCTCGTCATGCGATTCGCGCGCGCTTCGCGTTTTCCAGCCTCCAGCTGCAACAGTCTGTAACTCTTTTGCAGATCTATCTCTCAATATACAACTCCGATTTTGGATGAAATTCAAAAACCCATGTAAAGCTAAAACACATAGAGGAACAAATAACTCTTCTATGACAACTTCCTAATCCATCATTAAATGGGGTCAAAATTAAAGATGAAGTTACTGGTAAAATTTCCAGCAGCCCTGTTTCAGCATACAACTCACTATTTACTTTCATTTATTCAATTCATCTCATGCTTTTTCACCATTTTCAGTCATCTTACTCAACATGAAATAACATACTTTCTCATTATCAACACACCACACAAATTCTCATGCAAGAAAATTAATTAAACGAAAAGAGATAGCACACCTTTACGCCAATAAGCTTAAGCTCATCTTTTAGCTTCCTTCTACCTTTGGCTCACCTCTCCTATACAATAGAGTTCTTATAAATTATCTAACAATATCACAAAATGAGTCAAGTATGAAATTTAAGAAGGTTTACTTACTTGGATAGAATAGAAGTTGAATTAATGCTTAACTCCCATTAACATCTTCCCCACCATTAAACATGATGGAGTGATGGAGAAAGGAAAGTGGAAGAGGAAAGTAGAGGAAGAAGAATGAAGATAAGGATGAAGAAATGAAAATGAAATGGAATCCATCGGTAGTCTCTGGAATGTCATTGATTTTTTTATGTGAAAATTACCAAATGGTACCTCAAGTGTCAAAATGGTATAACTCAATACCTCAACTTTATACTTTAATGAAATCAAGTCCTAATCCTTATACTTTGATCTTTTTGTTTCCTTCAAGTAAGTCCATTTCTTTTCCTTATTTCAATTTCATGCCATTCTAGCCCACTCTAGAATCTAATGGATCGAACCGGGTTTTGGTAGAATCTAATGGATCGAACCGGGTTTTGGATCAGCTCGACTCGACTCTAAGCAACGACTCAATTCAATAGAAAAATGGGACGTTACAGTTCAAATATTAACAAATTTTATATACACATCAATCATTACTCTTACAGCCCATCCATCGGGCAATCAAACGAATTTATTTCCCTTCCTCCATCCAAAGTAACAATTCAATGTTAAACCATCAATTTTTCAACCTAAAGTAACCTTCAAACTTGTTACAACAATATTATCAATCATTCTTTGCTTAAGACATAAACAACATATTTAAACATTCATTAAAATTCTAGTCTATTCAGTAAGAATAAATGCTTGAACCCGACCGCCAACATACTATGCCAATTTTGTTCCACTTAATCCCTATTTCATGGCCACATATCTTTCAGGCTAAGGAATGTCTCCTAATCAATTCATAATTTAATAAAGCTTCATGAATCTTTCTCCGTCTTGACATAAAATATCATTTCTGGATATAGCTGAAGAGATCTAGAATTGAATTGTTTACTTAGCATAAATAATGCTATCAAGTAACAACCAATTATTCGCAATAGTTGTTGCTTATTAAAATAATAGGTTGTCCTTAACTTAAAATTATATACTATATTCAAAATAATTTGTATCGCATTAAGAATTTAATTTACAACTTCATTTGGTTTATATTGGTTGCTGCCATATTAACACTATACCTACTTTTTTTTTTTAAACTAAAACCTCTTTGTTCATGCTAACTTATCTATTAAATTAGCTATTAATTCGATACTGAATTAGAAAATCAAATTTCTCTAGTAAAAATATGCATGAACAATATGAGTTAGGGTCTAATTTCTGCAATAGTAAATTCATGATTCAAATCCACCATCTCTGATCAAGTAGTTTATAAACTAGACTGAAGCAGATTGAAACTTTGCTTACCTAGTCGCAACACACGCCTCAGCGATACCATGTCTTTATTGTGAGTTATTTTCCCAGTTGGATTTGCTTCTGTACTTACTTGGTCTCCTACCTTAGCTATTATAGTTCCATCTCCGGTATACTCTTCTTTTTGTTGCTCCTCTGCTTATACTTGTATTCATTTCCTTTATTTTATGCAGAGGACTCTTATGGTTTCTTCACCCCTTTCGTCACTAGTAGTTGATCATGTTGAGGATCTATTGGGTAGTTCTCTCTTTTCTTACGGAGCTTGCCATTAGCTCCTCCTCTATCACTAGACACCCTTCCACAACTTCCATAAATGTGGCTAACATTCAGTTGAAATATTTATTTTTTTAGAGCTTTCAGAATTGATAAAGGAATGACTTAACCTAGTGTAGTCTTCTATTTGCTCTTTGGGTAGTCTTACCAACAGTACCCAACCTAGTAGGCTGAGGATTGAGGTAGTTACATATACACTGGTTACTACTCTTCAAGGAAGGTTAGAGATTGACCAGCAGTTGAGGAGGCGTGTGCAACTAGCTAACAACCTTGTAGCCGACATTGCCGAGAAAGAGTAAAGGTGTAAGAATAGAGAGTCATGGAGATAGAGAATGAAGCTTCATTCCTAAAGGAGGAGTTTAATAAGGTTACAGTTGAACGTGTTATATCACCCTCTCCCTTTGATAAAACAAATAATAGGTTACAAGTTTTGAACGTGGTTATCACCCTCTCCCTTTGATAAACAAATAATATATATATATTTATATATATTATATAATAATATATATATATATATATATAATATATATAATAAATGGATAATATATAAATGGATAAAAGAAAAGATTAATTTTCTAGACATATTTGAGAAAAATATTCCAAAACTTTTGTCATCATATATAATATAATGTATAATTAAGACAATTTAGTATGAACAACAAGTTGATTGTTTAGTAGCAGATACTTCATCAATAGTAAGTATTTCTTTTCCAACTGGAATGGTCATAGTAATAGTAGTATTACTATTATCATTGATTTTAGCTTTTTGACTCATAATTTCATGGATTTTAGTAATCATTTCCAAAAATGCTTCTTCAACATTGATATTCTCCAAAGCTGATGTTTCCATGAAACATAAACCTTCAGCCTCTGCAAGATTCTTGCCTTCTTCTTCACCAACTTGTCTGGAATTATCCAAATCAGATTTATTTCCAACAAGAACAACCACCATGTCAGATTTGCTGAATTCTCTTAGCTCTTTTAGCCATTTCTTCACATTATCAAACGTTGCTCTGCGTGTTATGTCATATACTAACAATGCGCCTAATGCTCCTCTGTAATACGAACTTGTTATAGCTCTAAACCTGCAAATTACAAATTATCATCTCATCTTAATTAGTATAACATTTTTATTGTTTGTTGGATAATATTTAAAATAATTCAATAAATATTATATTTGGGTTTAATTGGATTTTATTTCTATATTTTCTTTTTGTTTCAAATTACTCAAAAATAACTAACTTCTCGTTGGCCCAAGTGATAAGCAATCTCGCTCTATCCTTACAATGGAGATAATACTGATTCAATCCTTAAGAGACGAACTTTCTAGAAGGGCAAAACAACTTTTATGCTTTACAACTCAAAAGGGAATTAATTTAAAACAAAGTTGCTGTTGGACCGTTTTTTTGGCAGTGATTAAGGGGGTGATATTTCATATTTCTTTTTTGGTTTTAATCATCCGGTATCTGAAAATTTACTTAGCCAACTAATTTGGATTCATGCCGGGCAAATTTACAAAAAAGGGCGAAACGCTCCCTCTCGAGTGTTTAAAGAGACTTTATACTCAAAACTCAAATTCAAGACCTCTAATTAAGGAAGAAAGCAAACATGCCATCTCATCTCACCCCTAAAGGATACAAAGGTAGTATTTTAACCTTAGTTAAAATAAAATAATGAGCCATGTCCCTAAATTTAAAAAACATATCCCCAAACATATTTCTATATTTTCTTTTTATTGGATAAGACACCAATATATAATCTAGCAAATCATTATTAAAATCTAAAATTAAGTGGATGGTTGAAATAATAATATAGTTAGATAAAAAAAATTAGTCAAAATTAATAAAATTGTTAACATTTAAAAAACATATAACTAAAATGAATAAAATTAGTTAAAATTTAAAAATATGTAAAACCATGAGTCGTTTAGGCAATGACCTGATAGTAAATACATATACAATCTAATAATAGACTCACGTCAATTCTGAAATCTCCCAACCAATCCGAAAAGAAAAAACAATAATTTGTTATAACTAACCAATTAATTGATATTCCACTCCATATGTTCCATGAGCTAAAAAAAAAAACAAATAATTAGAAATAAATAAATAAATTGATTAATAAATATCCAACTCATATTCTTCTTTCTAAAAAATTGGTGTTTATTTGTTATTTGTTGATGAAATGACCAGAGGATGTTACTAGAAGGACCTAACCCATGACAAAGAGAAGCAAAAAGTTCATATCATGAACCTTGTTAATGGACAATGCACACACCTATCTTTTCACTACTTTTCTATAATCTTCTGCATTAATTAAGGATGCTTTTTTAATTTGTCCCCACCTAAGTGGAATAAACTTATCTTTCCTATATTTTATATGATCTCCAATGAGCATTAATTACATGAAAATTTTCAAATTTTGGATTAAATTAATTGCATGAATGGAGAAATTACAACACGATAGTATAGCAACGAAAAAGGAGGATAAGCTTTTTTTTTTTTTTTTTTTTTTTTTTTTTTTTTTTTTTTTTTTTTTTTTTTTTTTAATCATCTAATTTGGATTTGCCCCGGACAAACCCATAAAGAAAAATAAAGTGTTTCCTTCCAAGTATTTAAAGGGCCTCCGTATCTAGAGTGAACTCAAAACCGAGAAGAGATTCCTAACAATCTCATCTCATCCTGTGAGGGAGCTTATTGCTTGTTTATTCATAGAATAATTTACATGTCTTTTAACTATTCTTTTAATTAAAGATTTTTAATATTATATGAAAAATACATCTAGTATATTTCAAAAAAGAATTATTAATGATAGCTTTTTTCTAAGAGATTAGAAGGAAAATACTAACGGATACATACATGTTTTTCAAAAAATTTGTGTTATTTGATAACTAGAAGTGGGTTGGAACTAATAGAATTTTGATCATTAAATTTCATATTTTATTCAATTGTATATTTTTTGTTATGTTGAAAAAAAAAAAAGCCAAAATTCATTAAATTTACAAATTTTATAATGGGTTCATGAGATTTTTCAATTCCATCGTTTTTATTAATGTTAAACAATGAAATGTAAAATTTAAAATGTTAAGCTACATAAAATTTAAATTTAATATTCATGAAAACTATCTAAGTTTTATATAGTTCAGTTCCACTTATGTGTAAAAAGAAAATTATTAAAAAATTTTATACCAAAAAAAAAAAAAAAAAAAAAAAAAAAAAAAAAAAAAAAAAAAAAAAAAAAAAGATTAGTGTTTTGTATGAAAAAAAAGCCAACCAAAATTTCCCAAATCAAGATCTTCCACTTTCCAGCAAACACTTTTAATACCCCAAAAACCAAAATCAATCATCTGAAGAACACGAGCCCCACTATATGCATATATATGTCTATTCTTCTCGGCTTCTTGCCTTAAATAAACTACTAATTACTTAAATTCACAACTTCTGCTAACTTCAAAATTGGTTCTTATATACTTAGATATATAGCAAACATATAAAGCAAAAGCATATATAATTATATGATCAAAACAAGTAATATGAGCATATACCTTTCTTGGCCAGCAGTGTCCCATATTTGAGCTTTGATGAGCTTATCACCAACTCTTATATTTCTGTAAGCAAACTCAACTCCAATAGTTGGTTTTGAATCTAATTTGAACTCATCTCTTGAAAATCTTGATAGAAGATTTGATTTTCCAACAGCTGAATCCCCAGTTAGAACTGCTTTAAACAGATAATCACACTCTTCATCATATGAATCTCCCATCATCACCATAAAGAGAAAGAGAGAGAGAGAGAGAGATGGGCTCTATAGAAAAGAAAGTTTGAAACATTCAAGAAAAACAAGAAAAGAAAGAATATGGGGGAAAAGTCTTGTTTTTACATATATAAATTCCAAGAAAGGTCACCTTCATATATATATAATTTCAAGTCTTAAGTTAATTATAATCCTCTCTGGATTAGTTTTAGTGGGTTTTGATTGTTAACGTGTGAAGCTATGGAATAAAGACGTTATGGTGTTGGCATCAAGTCAATCTCTTGATTTGGTAGGTGGTAGGACAAATGTTAATGAAGGACCAATCATGTAGCTCCATATGTAAATTAAGATCAATAATGAAACGTGTATCTGTCATGTCATGCATATGTGGAGTTTTCTGATTGGGTTGTTTCCTTATTGATTATGACCTTACTGTTGCTCTATCATGGAGTTTTTTTTTTTTTCATATTTATTTTAGCTAAAATATTGTGTTTGTTGCTTAAATTATTATGCTTAGCTATAATGATTAATCATTTCAAATCCCTTTTTTCTTTGTTGGGAGTTTTAGCCTTTAGAATTGACTATAAGTTGGTGATTAGTTTATTCCCCTAACCAATTACTAAATTAGGATTTTTTTTTTTATATATATAATATAATATAATATATCTTTCCTTTTTCTTTTTAAAATTTTATTTTTCTAACAAATATTCTTAGCAATCACTTCGATGAGATAATAGTGATTATAATTAAATTTAATTCTTTTTAAAATAATAAAAATAATATATTTAATTTTATCTAAAAATAACAATCTTATTTACCAATGCATTAAGAAGTGTTTGTTATAAATCCTTTTTTTTTTCTTTTTTTAATAATAACTTCGAATTTAGATTGATATTTATTGTAAAACATATTTTTAGAAAAGTAATAATCAAATCCTTCATATAAATGTAATGAACTTCATGAGTTGGTGAGACAATGACAATTATGAGTTGGTGATGAGTCTATAATCATAACTAATAACCAAATTCTCCTTTTTTTCTAAAAAATAAACTAATTACCAAATTAATGAGCCTTTTGGTAACAAACCGTTTCTTTTGTTTTCTTTAAACGTAATTTATCCTTGTTATAAATATTTAGTTTTTTCTTTATCTAAAAAAATTAATTATTTTAAAAAATATTTTATTCAGTGGTTATTTTTTGACTCATTGAAAGCGTAACATGGTCGAACTCGAGATTTCTAATTTCTTACATAAGTGAAAAGATCAATGGGTACTACACTTAATTGGCTTATCTAACACTTATTTACTAATTCACCTATAATTATTATAAATATATAAATTTTAATACAATAAAAAATAATCAAGTTAAAATGAAATGGAAATATTGAAAATTGCACTTAAACATTGCAATATATATTAACATGTATATGATCTAAAACGGCCAAATGCATAAATATAACCATGTATTTTACGAAAAAAATCTTGTGGCACCCTAAATTTTGAGAGTGGTCTATTATGCCCTTATGTTACAAATTTTGTTAACATTGTATCAATCTCTATACTAGCAAATATATTCTTTTTTTTTTTTTTTTTGGTGTTTTTGTTTGTTTTGTTTTTTTTTTTTTTTTTGGTGTTTTTGGTAGTTATGTGCAAGATATTCGCTTAATGTAGTTAGTATAATATTTAAAGTAATAATTTTCACATTTTTCAACTATATAATAAGTGTTTAATTGAACTAATTTTAAAAATTTGAGTATTCAATAGAATAATTTTTGTAAGTCGAAGTATTGAATTGGTACAATTGTATAAATTGAAGTGTTTAATAAACTTTTAAAAAAATTGAATTGTTTAATAAGTCAAAATAAAAGTTGAGGTGTCACAAGTTTTTTTACATAAAATGTGAGGGTGAATTTACACATCTGGCCGATCTAAAACATCACGGAAGTTTCATACCTTAATTGTAAAAAATGACACACACATATATGTATGGGATCGTATTATATAAATATCTTTACAATTAAAGGTATTACCATTTTTTTTTTTTTTGATTTAAAATTTTCACATGATTGTAATTTACTCATCCTTTAAATGGAAAAATTATGTTTAATGGTATTGAAAATTCTGAGCATGTGAGGAAGGAGGGTTAACATTTGTTTCTTAGCGTGACAGCCAAAATAAGCAACAAACACACAAATGAGGGTAAATGGGGCGAGAGAATAAGTCAGGAAGGGATGCCTATGTATGTCACGGGCTTCATTGAATCAAGATTAAAAGTTTAGCAGACAACCTTTTGGACCTTTACTTGATAATTAGGATCTTGTTCACGGGACAGAACATTAAAATACCAGCTTAAACATTAAAATATACGCATTGGAATAAGATAATTATAATAAAATAATTATTTCAATAGTATCCGTTTAAATGATTAAAACAATAAAATTATTTACGAACATACTTAAACAATAAAATTATTTACGAATATACTTTTTTTGCAGATTCTTCAAAACTTTGATCTATGCGGCTAAATTATCACAAGCCACAAATCATCTATTGTCCGACCTTTAGTAGTACCCACACGAATAAATAATTGAAAAACTCTAAAATTATTTTAAAGAATTGAAAGAATAGAGAGTATGGTTGTGCTACTTATCTTACACTCTATGTTTAGTTTTGTGGCTATGAACAACAACCACAGTCTTATTTATTAATTCCAAGAAAAACATCATAATACATACATTAATAGGATTATAATTATTATTATTTAACCTAAGTCTTAAATAAATAAATTATAATTATTTATTTAAAATAAATTATAAATTATTTTTAATTTAAAACTTAAATAAATAAATTATAATTAATATATTTATATATATATATATATATATTATTATATTTATTTTAAACAATTTAATAAATAAATCATAATACATAATAGTAATAGGTTTTCCAAATTTAATCAATTATAGATTATTTATTAAATCTATTTAAATAATTTATTTAACTATTTAAATAAATAAATCATAATTAAAATATTAGGTTTATTTAATCTTAGTAAATTTTAGACATAAATCAATTTAGTCTATACTTAATAATTTAGAAAAAATTGTAATTAAATATAAGTTATAAATTTACGTGTGATATTGCAAAATTTATTTGTAATCAAGTCATACTTGATTCAATTTCTCATTTTCACTTTTTCATATCCATTTTTATGTGTGTGACCTTTTGGATTCCAAATATGCTGCCGACAAATATAAATTAAAATAATTAATTAATATTTGAAGGTCAAGTATATTTTCTAGCAACATGTCATGACTACCCAAATATTTGAAAAGTCAAAGTGATTTGACTTAATCTTTCAATACATAATTTATCAGTGTAATTAATATATTTTCATCATTAGTGTTCTGATTTAGTAATTAGGTATGGAGTGTGTCTGCTTTACTAAATCATATGAGTTCTCTTAGTCTTAGTCATTGATCATTTGAATGAAATTCCAAAACTGATTTGCTAATTTCATTCTATCTTATGCAAGGATTTCTTAATCAAACTAATAGAGAACAACTAGAACATTTTCCTCAATTTACCTAGGATGATGAATCATATCATAATTACACAAGTATCTCCATAAAATTTCCACTATGTCTAATTAACCATTGCTTATTATTAATAAATGAATAATGTAAATGAAGAATCAAAACATAATCGTCCCTGTACAAGATAGTTTAGTAATTTCAAGTCGCAGGATCACTTACACAACCATCACTTAAGTATTTTATAGACACAGGTAACTCTTCACATAAAACTCTCATACAGGTAAATTCAGTGGACTTGTTCAAATAACAAGCACTTACATATTAGTTCTAGATATCTCAACTTATGAGAACAGCTACTTCCCTAAGAAAAGAACATAATATGTACCAGTTTGAACAACTCTAATCATCCAATAATGAAGAGAACATTGACCAGGAATATGTAGAGACATTGATTTAATGCAAAATAAAACTCATAATTATAATCACATTATAATTTATTTTGCAAAGTAATATTGTCTTATGGATTTTATCTTTTACCGAGATTAAATAAATAGAATATAATAAATAAATAAATGTATTTTATTAATAATAAAATATTTATTATATAAAATATTATATCCAACATATAACCAATCAAATTGGCTAGAGGGCATATAACTAATACTTTCTCTCTCAGCAAAAACAATTCAATAATTAGAAATAAAAATTAAAGTAAGCAATCATAATAATATTACTAATGGACCAATAATATTATCAAACTGTTAATAAAAATAAACTAACACTAATAACAAATTAAAAATTAATACTTAGCAATGGACAATAATAAAGCGAGCAAGAAGTCTTCGATACACCTTTAATACCGAAAGCTATATATACTCGAATGATAGGATAAAACTTCCATAATATGATTTGCATTCTTAATTAATTTAATGAAGAAATAGATAAAAACAAACACGTAAGCCACATTAATCAAAACCCACTCCAAACACTTCCAAAATAGATCAAAACAAGACTACTAATACATATATAGGTATATATAAAGAACTTTGCAAAATTTCATGTAAAGAGTAAATAACATAATACAACACACACAAAAAAAAAAAAAAAAAAAAAAAAAAAAAAAAAAAAAAAAAAAAAAAAAAAACAAAAAAAAAAAAAAAAAAAAAAAAAAAAAAAAAAAAAAAAAAAAAACAAACAACAATAGAGATTAATTAAGCGAATCAAAAAAATAAAAGGATATTTTTTTATAAAATTAATAGGTGTAATCCCCTTGGGTTATAGTATGTAGTTTTTTGCCCTTCTTGCTCCCCAGTATTAAACTTATATTCTCACTCTTATGAAAATTGAGATTACATACCATCTCAATCAACAGTTTATTGGTAATATATATATTAATAGGATTTTCATTACATGAAGTAAATATATTATTTAGTTTAAAAATGGTTGTGGTTTAGTTAGGTCTACGTATGTCAGAAATGCCTTGGGATAGATGGACAAATGGATTGAGGTCTGTTTAGTCCAAAAAGAAAAGGATAATAACAAGAGTTTCAGAGAGGGAAATATAAAGATGAGAGGGACAAG